ACATTTGCAACTCCCATGATTAGTACCATGTCTTTTACCCAACCTTTTGACAGATTTCAGGCTCCACTAAATGGATTTTTAAAACATTGTATTTTCTATTAATCACAGCCCTAATTGTTTTTCACTTTTAAATTCTCCATTGACCATGAGTAAGCTCTTAAGCCTACAAGCCCTTTCCTCCTAATGGTACTTACCTCCTTAGAATATTTCCCCAGTGTCTCAGACTGTCATTTTTAATCTATAATAAATATTAGATGAAACATTTTAAATATGTATATGGTGACTTACCCACACACCCTCTTGATTAGATTTATTTTAAAATCTATTCTGGTTCAGAGCAGTCTTGAATAGTTTTACCAGGTCTCCCTAAAATTAAATCTTTTCTTATGTGTATCTTATTGATGGGGGAGGGAAGCCCTAGAAAAAATATTTGCAGATTTTTCCAATGTGGGCCATTTTTATTCTCTAATCCTGGTCAGCAGAAATGCATCTGAGCCTTAGTGATTTTTATATCTGTGAAATATCTTCATGTTCTTCAAACCCAGCTGGTTCATACAATCATTATTTTAATCCTGCTCTACCCAGTACCATTTTCTTTTTTTAAGTAATTGTTTAGGAAAAGGATTTAGTGAAAAGAAGATTAGAGAACTTTAAAGGCACTGCAGATTGTGCCACAATTAAGTATAAAATTTTAGCTTACATAACTGGCAAATACTATCTCTACTAAGATAGAGGGCATATGGGTTAAGCTTCAACAAGCCCTACATTCCTATGTCACCTCACAAAGAGTTATGGGGTAACAAGCTTGTTATAACAGTTCTTACAACCCCAAGACACCACAAAAGCATGAGAAATATGTTGATATACTGACATTGATTGCTGAACAGTGGACCACCCACCCTGCAGCTCTTCTACTACAAAATTAACACAAACTCCTAGGTCTCAGAGATGATGGACCAAATTTATCCTTGCTGTAACGCCAGTGTACTCAAGGTGTTACACCTGATGTGTTCTGTGTGTTCGAGTAAAACTTAAAGGTAATTTGAAAGAAAATAGAACTATAATAACAACCTCTGTGATTATAAACAACTGCAAATTCAACATTGCATATAGTGAGTGATAAAGTTTCAGTGGTAGCAGAGAGGAAGGGTGAATAAATACCTTGATAGCAATACAAAAAAAGAACCATCCAGATGTCTTTAGCATTCTACCGCTACTCTGGAATGACCCCAAAACATGGTCATTATTGTCCAGCTTTAGAATGTCCAGTGGTTCATTGCTAGCACTGTGGGTACATCCACTTTCTGCATTGGCGTTGGTTAGATGTGTCATACGTTGGAGGTGGTGGGGTAGAGTTTCAGGTACTCTGATATTATATATTGTTTCAGTGGACTTAGAGAGAGAAAAATGGGCCAAAATGTCATGTGTGTCATGATCATAGTAAAGAATAAAGGAGTTGCTTTTTCTTAATACATAGTGAGCAATAATTTAGGCCAAAGAAAACAATACAAAAGGGGAAGTGGGTAACCGTATTGGCAAATTTATTTTCCCTTCAGTCTGTTTTCATGAATCTCATTCACAAACTTGATTCACTCACCTTTTCATCAGCCAGGCAAAAGAGTGACGTTAAAGAAGCATTGTGACTTAGAGTGCAGTGATTGGTTGGAGCATACCAACTTCTTGCCAATCCCATCCTACTACTGCTGACTAAAGGCTCTTTGACAGTTGCCAGTGCCAACTGCCAGCTGCAGGGGATGTGAGCCTGCACGCTCTCACCTGTTGGTCAGTGGAGTTGTAGGCAGGGATG